ATTGGGAATGGGACAAGAAATTTCAGGGAGGAGTAGGGGATCAGGCACTAACATACTAAAAAATAGTAAAGAATCAAGTTAACCAAGTTAACTCTCATTCCTTTAGTCTTTGTGGGATTCATCCAGCCAATTATATCCAACTTATTACAATTTTGGTCCACATTTGATGCCTGAATTTATTAATTCTCTTGACAATGTATATACAAGTGAATGTGTTGACATGCTTAATCAGCTGGATTGTGTTTTCTTTGCAGAAGTCAAACCCCAGAGAAATATCTGCAATTTGTCATCTATTTGCAATGACTCAGGTTAGTTCTTATGCACATTATACTAGTATGTGAACAGATAAATTAGCTTCATAGAGAAAAATGGTTGCTTTTCTCCTGGACAGTGTGTGATGTGTGCCTCTTTGATCTGTCTCTTTTCATACCACCTGGCTACTATGAATCCTGAATGAAAACAAAAGCAAATTTTAGATTTGGCTGGAATTATCTTCCCATTGCTTAGTCAAATGAAGGGTTAATTTCTTTAATATGAGAACATGAAGCTGTGCACAAAACATTTTTCACCATAGCTTTAAATCCATAACTAATGCACTTAGAGTTGATTCATGAACATAATTAATAATGAATTTAATTATTGAAAGCCACTTCTTGTATACAAATCCTTCAAGCTTTTCCATAGGACCTTAAATATTATTATAGCTTAGAAACAGGATTTTGTCTTTTGCTAAAACTAAAACAAACCGCTCTACTAAAATGTTGAAAACCTCACGTACACCTAGTTAATTGGGTGCTAATCCCTGTAGTGCCATAGTGGATTTTGCCATCTTTAGCTAAGACTGCCCACTATTTTTAAAAATTGAGATGGAAATCTCTTGAGAACATGCTATTTTTGAAATGAGGATATTTTCCCTCCTGCTTTGGGCCAGAAGGAATGAAACAACCTCTTTTCTTACATTGGTTTGGCTCTCTGGGCTCCCTTCCTTGTTGAAACCAATGAAAGCAGATGTGAAAAACAGAAAAACATGGTGTGGCAGGTCAGAATTGGATCATGGGAAGAGAAAAGAGGAAGGTAACAAAATATTTTATAATATTAAAGTCTTAGTATGACTCCATTGATATAAAAAGAAACACTCATTAGAGGAATGAATCATTTTATTCTGTTCCCTTTAGTCCTTATAATAAAAGCCTAATATGCTAAGTGTCCGGTCATCCGTTCATCCAATCAAAGCATAATATGCTAATGATATGCTAAGGCTGCTCAACTGCTTGCTATGACGTGCACTGACCACCAGGGGACAGACAGTCGACTGGTCAACCAGTTGCTATGACGTGCACTGACCACCAGGGGGCAGACGCTCCAACTGGTAGGTTAGCTTGCTGCTGGGCTCTGGCTGATCGGGACTGAGTGAGATGGGCCGGACACGCCCTGGAGCCCTGCCGCGGTCCCTTCCAGGCTGGCCAACCTCCTATGTCCCTCTCCGGCCTCGATCGTGCACCCGTGGGGTTCCTTGGCCTGGCCTGAACCCTCTCACAATCCGGGACCCCTTGGGAGATGTTGGAGAGCCAGTTTCAGCCTGATCCCACAGGCCAGGTCAAGGGACCCCACTGGTGCATGAATTCATGCACCGGGCCTCTAGTAGTTTAATAATTTGTTTGAAAAACATAGGAACATAGGGGTGAATGGAACTAATGCACATTTGAAAATGTACAAAAAAAAGAAAACATAAGAAACAATTGCAAGTAAAATAAGGTTGGATAATTTAGAAAACAAGAAAACTTTCTGTTGAAAGAATGCTCCACAAATACTTTGTATTTGTGTGAGTGTGAGATTTGCTTATGTGAGCTTTCTCCTGATAGTATGCTCCTGGTAGAATATAGCAGAAAAATATCATCTGGTTTTGAGTCAAGAAAAACAACAACACATTTTACTTTCATATATTGTGTAACTCTCTTCTTCCCCCCTCCCTCCTCTCTTTACTGAATTCTCCATAATTTCATTATTTTTGTGCTTCATCTATGTTTGAACTGGTGACTAATGTCTACTTTAGTGTTGTGTTTACAAGATGTTTGATAACTTTGAAAATTGAACATTTAGTAAAAAAAAAAAAACTGGTCATCTTGAATAACAGATGTCAGAAAGCTGGTTAGAGTAATGCTTTCCCTAATTGAGTGGATGAATTGACCGTTTGTTTTAGTGTCTGTTGAAAACAACCTCATCAGGGAACCAACTCTTTTGGCACCAGAAATCCCATGATATCCTGCCAGGAACTAGAAACCTCCACTTCTTGCAGGTTTCAATCCGGGTTCCTTAAGGGAAATGGAGGCTAATGCAGAAATGGGAGCTGACTAGCCACAGTTAGGCTAAGAGTAAAAAGGAGGTGGCTTCCTGGTTGCTCTGCTACCACTGTGCTCCCAGCACATTTATGAAATTCAACATGCCCTCAACAAGACTAAAGGATGAACTGGAAGAATAGAGGGGTGAGGGAAAGAAATTGTAGGTGTCGACTATATGCACACACACTAAATCAGTTTATACAAGCAAAGATTTCAAAAATGGAAAAGTAATAGCCCGGCTGGTGTGACTCAGCGGTTGAGCGTTGACCCAGGAACCAAGAGGTCACTGGTTCAATTCCTGGTCAGGGCACATGCCAGAGCTTGAGGGCATGCAGGAAGCAGCCAATCGATGATGTTTCTTTCTCATCTATGTTTCTATCTCTCTATCCCTCTCCCATCCTCTCTGTTTAAAAATCAATAAAAATATATTTAAAATGGATAAGTAATTCTATGCATATATCAAGAGTTTTTACCTTTAATACTTATATACTGTACTAATTGAACTTTCAGTATCAGAGTTAAAGTTCTCCGTAGAAAAGTAGCTTAAACAGATAAATCATGTTAATCTCTGGTCCAGTGGCTTTGTTGGCTGTTTTAAGTGGAAGGAGACCATTGGGAACTGGGATATGGGAATCAGTTGTACTTTGGGGTGCAATAAAAAAGATAAGATGAGGAGGCCTTCAACACTCTAGCTCATGAGTTGGCAAACTACTGCCCATAGTCCAAATATATTTCCTACCTGTTTTTGTAAGTAAAGTTTTATTGGAACACAGCCATGCCTATTCATTTACATATTGTCTATGGCTACTTTTGCACTACAAAGTTGAGTAGTTTCAACAGAGACCATATGACCCACAGAACCTCAAATATTTATTATCTGTCTGATACTTCACAAAAATGTTGGCTGACCTATGCTCTAGTTTATATGACATCCTTGCCCTTTTGCTCAAGAGGCCAGCTTTTTGTCTCTATATTATGAAATACACACAATTGTACCTGTTAAGGGGTCTCTATTTTATTTGTTTCCAGATTGAGTCAAAGCCCCTCCAAGTATACCCTGCAGAAAATAGGTTGACTAAAAGTTACTTCAATGTTACCCAACGTGAGCATTTTAGGAAAAGGGTTTTCTGGTATATATGAGATGAAAGTGCCAATGAATTGTTCAACTACAGAAAAGATTTGCCCTGCAACCTATTCAGGTTTCAAAGCAAAATCTCAACTTTGTTCCTAGGAAAGATACTGGCATTTGGTAGTTGTAGTTTTAAAAAGAAAAACACCAGCATGGAATAAATGGACTTCCATAAGGTTGCTAAGCTTCTGAGAAACACTTTTCCCTCCCTCCCTTATCTATGTAACTGCAACTATAACAACTTTAAAATGTTGTTTTTAAACATTAACTTTAGACCCATGGTTCCCTCAATTAGCATCTTTAAAGGAAACAAAATTCTGATGAAACGCATGTAAGGATAAAATTTATTTTCTTCGCACTTTTAGAAAAGGTTTATTACCTCAATAGTGAATTATTTTTAAAAGATGATAAAACTCATTTTTCTTCCAGTAGAAAAGAGACAGAGGCTTGCCCCGAGACCAGAAGCTACGGATGGACAGGTCTCCCACCTGACCAGACACCCAGGCTGGCAGGGCCGAGACCTGTCTACCTCTGGCTTGGCACCTAAAAGATTAGGGCCCTCATGGAGGGCAGCTTGGGACAGAGCCTCCCACCACCCCAACCAGGGAGTGGCCCACTCAGTATACAGGATGATGTCAGTTTAGCTAGAGAGAAGGTGCCCAAGACACCCAAATCCAGTGCCTGTGTAGACTTTAGGGAGATAAAATCCTGTGGGGGATGAGGATACAGTCAGGGCAGCCACATGGGGCATCTCTCACTCATGCTGGTTTCTGAGGCCTGTGTGAAGGGGCTATGCCCCCAGCCCAGATGGGTGCAGAGAGGCCAAAGGTCTGGATGCAGGCTGAGCCCTGAGCCCACCGTCCCCTGTGCCCATGGCTTTGGCACAAGAAATCTACAGCTCCTGGGCTGGGTTTCAGGACAGTGGCTGGCCCCTCAGAGTAAAAGCCCAGTGCTTCTGGGTGAACCATCAAACAGGGGCTGCAGTGTTTCCAGACTAATGGAGAGGGAAACTGGGGAGAAGTGGCCCAATGACTGAACAGGCTCACCCCAGGAACAGGACCCAATGCCCACACCCTGTGGGTGCCTCAGAGAGAAGGTTCTGAAACAGTCCCTGTTGGGTGAGCCTCTCCTTGAGTCCCCTCATAAACATCTCTGTTCATGAGCCTGTCTGTACATAACTGCACAGGCATATGCAGACATGTGTGGGGTTGTGTGCAGTATGTGGACACACTTGTGTGGCAACTGGGAAGCTCAGACTTTAGGACTGGCAGACTGTCCCCTGAGGGAGTCCTGAAGAAGCAGGGTATAGGGGCTGGGGAGCTGGTCTGGCTGAGTGGTTGGGCTAGGCTGGCTCCATCTCCAGGACCCTAGTCTTGCTTCTTGCAGAACTGGGAGCTGATGTCATCAGGGATTCAGAATAGGTCTGCATAGCTTCCTTATCCATTGAGCCCTTTTTACTACTACTACTACTACTACTACTACTACTACTACTACAAAAAAAAGTAGCATTTCTCCTCCTTGAACCACACTATTTATCCAATGCCTTTGACAGCCTTGATGTAGAGGCTCAGCTGCAGCTTCACAGAGAAGTTCATAGGGGTTCCTATGACAGAGAAGTTCATAGGGGTTCCTATGACAGAGTGGATGTCCAGGGACAGGGAATGTTTGTTTGTTTTTTCTCATTGGAGTGGAGGCTGATCACTGCCTCTGCCAGGACAGGGTAGGAATTGTAGAAGTGAGGATGGGAGAGAAATAAGGGTGCACTGTCCAGGCACAGGCAGAAGTCCTTGTTAGGTGGGTAGACAGACCCATTAGCAAATAAGGTGTATGAAGCAAAAAGTAGGGATGCCTTTGAACATCCCTACTTCCTTATAGATGAGCTTTATGGACCAGCAGGCCTCAAGGCTATAGAATTCCAGTGATATTTGTGAGTCATAAACAGGGCCCACATCTGCCCTGAAGTCCTGTCAATCATGTTGCACGGATTCGAGTGCCAAAGTTGAGCTTGCTGAGCCAGTTCCACTTGTCCACGAGGTAGATCTGGATGAAGTTTTTGATCCCTGTGAACATGGTGAAGAGCCAAGAATTGGAGTAGTTGAGCTCAGCAAATAACCCAGACTTGCCCTTTAAGAGGAACATGTCTGGGAAGTATTTATTGATGAGGTGCATGAGGGGGTGGTCATAGCCCCACATGATCTTGCCTATAGTGTGGTTCATGAAGGCACACTCACCAAGGTAGTGAACGCCAAGGTCATGAACAGTTTTATGCCCATAGACTTATTCTCCATCATCAATGCTGCACTCAGGACCAGGATGTTGGGCTTGACGATGTAGTAGCTCTCCAAGCCACTGGACTTCTCGCTGGAATTGGAAGTTGCAGTACTCGAGGAAAGACACTGTGTCATTGTCATTGAAGGTGATGTTGCTCTTATGCTGGAACTCCCTATACATACATAGGGCCTGCACTCCCACAACAGTGGCTTCTTGCCCTGAAGAATCTCCTTGGGGTTGACATGTCGATGAAGTAGATGGAGATGTAGAGGGGAACAGGGATCTCCTTCCATATGCCGAAGGACAGGCTACTGGAGTCCATACACACACTCTTGTGGACCTGCAGCTTGATAATGGAGGGCACCACCATGATCACCACAATGCCCAGCACGGCACACAGCAGTCTAGTGAAGTCCAGTGCCCCAGCCGCGCAGTGTGCTCTGGTGCAGCTGCCCATGTCTGTGCATGGCACCTGAAGGGAACAGGGTATTGGTAGAGCCAACAGAGGCTGTGACCCCGGGGCTGTGGGCCGCAGGGGCATGGTGGGCCTTGGAAAGCAGTGCATTGAGGAGTGGCCTGGCAGGTGGCCAGCAGTTTTATCGAGGGTGCCTTTGGACAGGCCGAATCCCAGGCACCGGGATTCAGGTAGGCTGGGATAAAATTTTCTTGACAAGGGAACAAGCGTTCCCTCTTTCTGCATTCCTATATAAAATTTATAATTTATATCTTCTGAAAAATATATTGAGTAACTTTCTGATACAAAGGAGAGTAAATGTGAATAACAGCAAAGAATGTGATGAAACTTTGTTTATAAAGTAATTTGATAATCTTTTTCTGTGTGATATTAATCCTCAAGCTCTAAGGATGCAAGTCTCAATTTTCTTTTTAAAAATTTATTTTCAGCATTTTTCAGAGGTGAGATAATGTTTCAATATGATGAAGAAAGCAATGTTACCCAGGTAGGTTTTAAAGATTTTCCTTATTACAATCTAAAAAATGAATTTAGATGTATTTAAGTATTTGTTTAAGGCTTAGATTTATGATATTTGGCATATTTATTTACTTTTATGGCCAAGTATAAATAAATTTTCTTGTTGAATCCCTAGTTTAGATAAGAGGACTTGACTTCATAATAATCATGGTATTATGTTAATAATTATATTTTAGTTTTCACTAGGTTTGCTGCTGAATGTTTATAGATGTAATTCTATTACCAGTCAAAATGTGAAATTATATTAGAAACTCCTAACAAGAAGAAATATATTGAATCTAAGAACTGTCTTTTAAATTGATCCTATTTGCCCCATGGGGTATTCAGATATAGTAGTATCAGCCTCCTGTAATCTAGATTGCTTCAGAGGATCTCAGCTACACGTGGTTTGTTCATTCAGTGAATATTTCTTGAGTACCTACTATATGCCGGGCAAGGAGCTAGGTTCTAGAAATATAGTGGTGACTGCTATCAAGTTTCCCCCTTTACATTGGGATCTTTTACTTAAATCTGGGGCCTTTCATGTAGAGAGCTTTAATAGTATTCTTTTGGGGGAATAATGAAAGACAAAATAGAATAACAACAACAAAAAAACAGAAATTATTGTCACATCACACTTGTTGATTCAGAATATTTAAAAACAAAAACAAAAACAAAAACTGGCTCAGTCTATATGGATTTGATCATTTGCTAGGTAGTATTCCATGCAGTTAGTATTGATAGTCTTTAGGGTGTAGTTCTTTGGGTGGTCAACAAATCTAAAGAACAACTTCTTGTATGAGAGCATAAAAAAACAATATTTGTTGTATTCTTAATGATTTTGTGCTTCTAACAGAATCCAAATATGGCTAATGGCACCTTGACTGGAGTCCTGTCTCTAAGTGAATTGAAGTGAGTAATCTGCTGTTTGATTTAAATCTTAAGAAATCAACTATGGAAAGATACTTGTTGAGCTATCTTTGCTTTTGGAAACTATGAATAGGAAAGAGACCTAAAGGTTATAGAGAATTGGTTCTTGAATTCTTTGCAAACTATAAACATAATTACCTGTCATCAATTAATATCCCTGTGAGGCTCTTCTCTTTGATGCTATTAAATTACCTCCATTTGAATTACTATTTGAGTAATATGACTTGATAGCCAGCAAGGTTGAAAGAGGATTCAAGGTAAGACTTTGTGTATACCATTTGTTCATGCTTTCATGAAGCATCAGTGATTCACAAGTCAGAGAGAGGTCTTCTTAAATAGACCTCAGTTTACAAATAGATGCCTCCAGTTAGACAATAGATCAAAATATGGGCCAGCAGTTGGCCTAGGCCAGGACAGTCTTACCCTGTCCACTGGCAGGAGAAACTTCATGTCTTTGCCCTCGTGGCAGGGAAGCAGCATTAGAGATAAAATTCATCTACTCTCCACCTTACTATTACCTCTCAAATGAAGTTTTCATAAACTTTTAACCAAATTTTAAAGCTCTGGTGAGTATCTGTGATAACACTGAAGAGAAAAACCTTTCCTAGGTCAAAGCAAACAAAACAAAACTATTCTTAAGGCTCATTATTTAATTAGCATTTTGACCTGGCTGCTTCTGATGATTCAGCAGTGCCTAGGTAGAGAGAAAAATAATGCATGATTCCATGTGGTAGATACCAGACATTCCTAGTGCTCTTGTGAGTTTATAGTGGCAAAAAGTTATAGTGATAACTAGGATGGGCAGGAGTGTCATTTATGCCCTTTATATGCCTATTTTTTCTTACCTCCTGATAAAAATCTAGCTTTTCTAACTATTCAAAGAATATGTGTGAAATAATCAATGTCTTAGTAGGATTTTAAACTTTAGATGGGCAATAGTAGTGATAGGAAACATTTTTTAAACTCACAAATTTATAAATAGAATACAACTTAGCATACTTGCAATTCATCTTAATTACCAGACTTGAAATAGAGATGAATTCATGTAAAGCCACCAAACGTTTGTTGAACACCTACTATGTGCTAGGGGTTACAAATGGGAATAACCTCAACTCTCTGAAATAGAAAACTAGACTGCTAATTAAAATCACTTGGGGAGCTTTTAAACACACTGATGCCCAGACACACTCCATACCAATTAAATCAGGATTTGGGGACTGAGACATAGGCATGAGCGTTTTTAATGCTCTGCTGGTGGTTCCAACATGAGGCCATTTTGAGAAGAAGGAGTCTGGAGTCTGGTAGGAAAGATGCAAAATGGGAACAAATGATAACACTAGAGCACAATCCCTATAATGAAGGTCACATTTACAAAGTACCAAAGGATGTTCTAAGTGTCTGAATGTAGAACAGATTGGACATGACTGGAATGGCCAGAGAAACCCCAGAAAGAAGGTGGCCTCTGAGCATAGTTATGGAGGAGTAGTTCCTGACAGCTCAAAAAGTTAACTGACTACTATTGCCACCATCCTTCCCTTCTTCTTCCCTCCAGACCTTTCCTGGAACAACCAAGAACTATTTCCCATTCCTTAAAGCAGAGTTTCTCAACCTTACTACTATTGACATTTTGAGCCTGATAGCTTTTTGTCATATGGGATTGTCCTATACCAGTGATGGCGAACCTTTTGAGCTCGGCGTGTCAGCATTTTGAAAAACCCTAACTTAACTCTGGTGCCATGTCACATATAGAAATTTTTTGATATTTGCAACCATAGTAAAACAAAGATTTATTTTTGATATTTATTTTATATATTTAAATGCCATTTAACAAAGAAAAACCAACCAAAAAAAAATGAGTTCGCGTGTCACCTCTGACACGTGTGTCATAGGTTCACCATCACTGTCCTATACATTAGGGGATGTGTAACAGATCCCTGGTCTCCACCCACTAGATGCCAGTAGCACCCCACCCCCAATTGTGACAAGAAAAAAAATGTCTTTAGATATTTCCAGATGTCCCCCGGGGTGCAGTGTCACCCCAGGTTGAGAACCACTGCCTTAGATTGATTTTTTAAACTAGATTTGATAAGATCATGCACATTCAGGATGGTATGGCCATAGACGAATTTTTAAATTAGATTTATTTCATTTTAAGCTCACATGAAGCTCTGCCACATTGGAAAAATGCAAGTGTTGTAAGAGTGCAATCGGAGGAGAGGAATGAGGGAGATTCCTAAAGAGAAGTTGTGAGGAGGGGAAGGCAGGGCTGGAGAGTGCTAGAGGGTGGCAGGGTCAGTTGGAGAGAGAATGAAGAAATCATAGGCTCAGGGCTTCCAGGGTGAGTGGCGGGCCTGTCTCAGAAATTTTGCCTCGGGCCAGCCAGCTCTTCCTCAGGCCTTCTGCCAGAGGCTGCCTGGGAGTTGCAGTAACTTAATGAATAACACGATTGTTCAACCATAAATTTCTATCTTGCAACTGTTGGCTAGTACCAATACAGCTTCTGTCTGGTTAGTTTTCCTTGTCATATAAATAATTTATTTTTCCCACATAGGAATCTCTTAATATACCCAGTATCTCTTCAAAGTGAACACTGCAAGCAATAAATACTATGTGACTAATGCATTTGCTAAAAATCTAACTTGTTTTGAATTTAATACCACCAACAGCCTCCTTCATGTCAATTTCTTTCATTTTATTAACAGACGAACAGAGCTCAACAAAACCCTGCAAACCCTAAGTGAGGTAATCATAGTACACCCTGTACCTTGTATATAATTGTTATTTGGGGAAAAGCATGGAGTTCTGCATTCCTGGGGAGATATGTATTCAAATCCCCCCAAATCTGTCATGTAAAATAGTGAATGGACTAGTTCCATTACTCCAAAAATCAAAACTAGGCACAATGGATGGACGTTACAAGGAGGTGGATTTTCCTTCATGTAAAACTGGTAGTTTCTTAAAACAAGGACCTAGAAGAATGAGCTCTCCTGTGTGATAATGAGCTCCCTGACATTAGATATATCTATCTAAGCAGAGGCTGTATAGCCTGAATAGCTTTGATCATAAGTCAGAAATCTGGTAGGAATATGAAATGGATGAGCCCTAGGAGTTCTTGTAGCTCTAAAATTCAGTGATTCTGTGATTAGTCCCGGGTTGTCTTGTCTGACACCTTCAACTGTCAAAGTAACATATATTTTTTGTTTGTTTCAGACTTATTTTATAGTGTGTGCCACAGCAGAAGCTCAAAGGTCAGTTATTTTTAATACTTTTATAAATATCACTAGAGGCCCAGTGCATGGATTCATGCACCAGTGGGGTCCCTCAGCCTGGCCTGCACCCTCTCGCAATTTGGGACCCCTCGGGGGATGTTGGACTGCTGGTTTCGGCCCAGCCTGTGGGGATTGGGCTGAGAAACCCGCAGTCCAATGCCACGTGCAGCTCCTGCCTGCTGCTCCTGCTTATCCCGGCCCTGCTGCGCCTACCGAGGGCTTGCGCCCAGTCAGGCCCAAGCCCAATCAGTCCAGATCAGGAGATGCTCGCGCTGCCGCAGTGGTGCT